ATCGAAAAAGTTATGCACCAATTTTTAGCCTCATATGGAGATCCATTTTTGACATGTCAAATTATCCAATTAGAAGATGATATCTGAAGAAAAGTTATATCCCTTTGAATTAGATTTCCAACGTATCTTGAATTGTCTCAATCGGATATCGACACTGGAAGATATGACCAAAATACTGAAAAGTGTCAGGTGAAAATTATTTAAAACCATACGGTCGCATGACTTTAATTTCATGCGGCCTCAAGAGGCGTCTCAGGGAACTTTAGGGTCCATCTTCAATGTTCTATACGACCGCATGACTTACTACCATGCGACCGTATGGTTCATTCCCGACACAATGATTCTGGTTTTCGAATTTAAGTCAACCACCTATGGAAACAACTTTAAATACGAGATTTGCAACCCTAAAACAAACCTAGAACATACAGAACGCCTCCCAACTTCATTCTTCTCTATTTTTCTCTTAGATTCATGAATTGTAACTAAACTTTCACACTTGGTAGAAGGAAACGGAAGCCTCGGAACCACATATTGTGAGATCTAAATAATTTTTCTTATTGTTTAATTTATATTTTGCGTATTAAATGTTCATCTGCATTTATTTCTATGATTTGTTGCGTTTAATTGCTAGAGGGTCAGCTACTTCAATGATTGTAACAATCTACCGCTAAATTAAACATCAAATCCATAATTGTTTGATTCCTTTAACTTGTGAAGCAAATACGGTTTGATAATCTGCTGTTAATTGTTAAATTCTAGGAAGAACATTCAACTAAATTAAATGCAACTGCTGTTGTTTAGCTTCATCGATCTTTCTAATTCGTAATGCTATTATTGAATTTAATCTATAGTGCTGGTCTTAGGTTGTTTGATAATTATGGTTAATTAGGTTGTTGGTATTCTAATTAACTACAAGTAAGGAGAGATAGGAAATCAATTCCAACGATGAATATTCAAAATATGAATTGAATTATCCTTGCATCTATGATCAATTGTGGATTTCCGACAGTGGATGTGGACTTAACCAAGATTCGTCTTTTGATTGTTTTCGTTAATTTAATTTTCATTGTTATTAATTGCGTTATTTACAATTATTTGCATACAAAATCCACTATTATTGTACGAAAGTATAAAATATTGAATTACACACTCTTCGTAGAATCGACCATTGCTTCCACACTCTCCGTGACCGAAAGTCGGTCTCAAAGACCTCTTATAATCAACACTAGAACACGGCCAAGGCCACTCAGTGAACTATAGGCACACGGTCAGACCCCTTCATCCTCAGTCAAGACCCCTCGTGTAGTATAGAACACGGCCAAGGCCCACGCCGTGAACTAGAATAAGTATATAATCATGGGTACTTTTCTGGTCGATCTCAATATCACATATTTCTCACATTTCAATTTACAAATAATCCATACACAATCTTTAAAATTCNATATTTAAGTTTTTTCCACTCACAGTTCTATGGATAGCAATATGATTAAATTGACGAGGATTTCCAAACTTTCACTTCAATACCTGAAATAACAATATAATTCAAATTGAAATCCGATAAGTAACCAATGTAAATCCACCACGTAATTTATCTACCTCTGTGTTTTTTCTTGCGTCTCTATTTTACTTAACTTTACCTCTCTTTGATTATTTACCAATCAATCTCCACTAGTAACAATTAGCTAATCATTTGCCCTCTCTTCTCTAACAACTTAGAAGAATCGGCTACCTCTTCCAATTTCATTCCTTATATTAATATATCGTTTGATTTGCCTCTAAATTATAGCTATCACCTGCATACTACACAAATGAGGTAACAATATTATATATGTTTCCTCATTACTTGAAATAACCTCCCAAATTATTCCTTTAATCAATTGGGGCTAATTACACTTTCTAGTCCATTTACTAATAATCAATTCATCAACATAATCTTCACTCCAAGCATAAATGTACATCTCCACTTCAATCTAGTAACAACTAATAACTACAATTCAACCAATTAAATTTTCATCTTATTCCATAATTTCATAACTCCAAGTAAATATTTCATAATCACAATCATACTCAACAATACCATTCATTCAAGACTCCAACTAAAAATCCTAGGGTTTGCTCAAAAATAAAATTCCTTACCTTGATACAAATTTCGTTTTCACAAAACCAAAAGATCAGCTTGAAATCCTACTCTTTTCCAAAATCTGAAAATTAATTCAACCAATTAGAACCCTAGAAATCAACATAAATAATTCCTTTATCTCATAAAGTAATAGATAATTTGAACCTAAGAATAAAGAATTCAACAATTACCCTTTTTTTCCTGTTTTTTCCCTTTTTCCTTCTCTTTTCTCGGTTTTCTTCTTCTCTGGCGATTTTCCTTCTCTGTTCAGCTCTCTGCGTGGGTGTTTACAATGGAAATGAGAGAATGAGCTCCAAAATTGCCACTTGTATTCCATTAATGCCCATTTTGCAAGTCAAGTCCTCCATCCATAACATAAGACCCATTCAATCCTTATCTTTCACTACTTTAAAAGAAAGTCCCAACATTTAAATGATTTTCATCTTATTCCCTCAAATATTTTATCCATTGTAAAATAAGCCCCAAGAAAATGATTTATTCCAATTAAGTCCCTATTTGACCTTGACTTTGACCAATTAAATTTTTGACTTTGACTAGAATGAGTGGGGTGTAACACCCGCCCCCTTGTAAGGCTCCTGTTAAAATCGTGACGTGGGAACTCCACAAAAGGACTGTGACACCATTTGATAAGTTCAAGATATAAGTCTATAAACCACCTAGAACATTGGAGGAAAAAACTCACA